CACGCATATTTATACCATCCTGGCTGCAAGTGACCTACGTGATAGGGGAAGCCCAATCTTAAATAAACTTTGCTTAAAAAAATATGGGATTCTCTATTATGAAAGTAAAGCAGCTTAGGGTAGTATTCGTTGTTTCTTGAAGAAATAAAAATTGCTTATTTATAAGTAGACGAGTATATACTAGATATTTACTATGTATTTACTAGTTATTTAGGTATATACAAATATAAAAAAATTTTATTCGCCAGAAGACGACTAGGAATATCACTCATAAGTTGGCTACTCTGTAACATAACAAGACGCATATGCATCTTATCTTGAACAGAGAGTCTAAAGAAAGCTACACATGTCATGCAATATCAGTTTGTCCAGTTTGTAATTATTGGACATAAATATTCTCAGGCATTTTTAAAGATATATTGGAGTTTTATAATTATAAGTTTATAATTATAAGTTGTCTATTTGCAAATTATCTATATATTAAATGATTTAATATCGACTTTTTTCATTACTTTAAAATTATTATCCAGTAAGCAAGTATGCTGTCAATCCACCAACAGTGGTAACATTTGGCTATGTGACTTGCAAAAAAAACAAAGTAATTATTACATAAACCAATTTGCAAATATCATTGAACACAGTGCAACAAAAAAAATACTCAAAATCCGAATAAAGTTTATGCAGCTCAAATAACACATATTTATTTACATCTACCTTTTTTCTTTTTTTTTTAATAAATAAATTATAGGATTATAAATAATATATATAATACAAGATAGAAGTATAAATATAAATCATGTATTATTTTTTAAATTGTAAATCATAATGTTTTTTCTAAATTTCTAATTAACAGAACTTTTTAATTTGATCATTTTTTATAAGAAAACTAAATTTTAAAAAAAATTTAAATAAATAAAAAATATGTTCTAAATTTAATATAATATATCAAAATAACTTTTCTTACACTTTTAAATTACGCAAAATATAAGCATAAAAGTATATCCAGACAAACTTGCATAGCGCATAAGCATAAAGAATTGGATTGGTCCATTTTCTTATACATCTTTTTACAAATCAAGTTTCCTTATGCGCCTATGCAAGTTTTTGTCTAGATCAGTGATGAGCAACTCGTGGCCTGCGAGCCGCATGCGGCCCTCCAACTACTTACCTGCGGCCCGCCGAAACTTTATTTAGCTGAAGTATAAAAATATACCTCCCAATATGAAAAGTTTGTTGATAAGAAACAGAGTCAAATATCTCATTAATTAAACAGTAGCTACATATTTAATTCTTTCTGATAAAAGAAATATACATATGTACATACACCTGTGTATATATTAAAAGTATTACTAATAAAAAGTAAATCAAATTTTAAAAAAAGTTTTATTGTCGAAAATAACGTATTTCACCCTATAAATTAATTTTTTTTTTTATTAATATATTTATTTATAATAATATTGCGTTTGTTGCGGCCCGTATGGAATATTAGGTTTTTAATTTTGACACACTGCAGAACAAACGTGGCTCATCACTAAATATATCCAAATATACCCTGTCACCGTAGCCATTCATATGCGCAGAATAACTGCACGTAAAAAGAGTTGCATACTTACAGGCACTTGTAATGTTCTGCAATTTATCTGCTGAGCAATAAGCATACTAAAATTTTAGAAAAATATATATTAAAAGATTTAAGTTACTATACAAATAAAGATGTTTCTCTTTTTCAGGACAAACGTAGACGTTTATTTCAAACTTTACTTACCTTTAAAGTGTATTTGCATTTTCCACAATAAAATAAAATTAAACATTTTGTCACAAATCACTCGCTCGAATAAAAATCGCCAGTATAGTAGTTTTTAACCAAATCAATCCAAATTATCTAGATTTCAAACGTCGTATCGAAATTGAAACGTACAGATGTGCAGGTTTACACAGACGCGTGCGCACGCGTTTAAATAACGGTTTGCACGCATCTGTCCCCCATCGCCCGGTACATAATAGGGGTCGTAAAGACCCCTTCGCGCTTCTACGGGACGCGCAGTTGGGACCATCGTCACGCGCACATATGCATGCACGTAGATAATGTGAAGGAATACCGGTCGCAGACGCTCCCGCCGCTGGAATCCGCATATTCCTGATAAAGCAACGAAGACCGCCTGTTAATGTGATAAGAAGAAGTCAAAATGCCATTTGTACTAGCGACTTTGATATTTTCTACTATCAGCAGCTCTGATCTTCGTCAATTCGCAGCCGAGAGCGTAAAATCAGATTTCAGCATCAAAACAAAGTACTAAGTATCGCTTACGTGTCGAAATAAATTTAGACCGCAAAGAATTGGAGCTTTAATTATTATCGCACATTATTATTCAATTCTCGCGCAATTCGTTCTCCAAGATCGCGCTTGAACGCGCGTGAGGCTTGTTCAAATTTCTCCGATCTTTAAATTCAGCCACGCAATGCGCGTGGCGACTGATTCATCCGCTCTTATGTGTGCACACGCATGACGCATTATCACCGCCGGCATTTTACACGCAGATGTTCCGGGCGGCGCGTGCCTCCGCGCTGTATCGCCTCGCTGAATGAGTGCCACGACTGTTTCGGGGGTTCGGGCCCCCTCTCGGTCGCGGGGGATCGATAATCAGACACCTGGCCCTTAAAAGCACCATTGGCGTGATTTCGTGATTCGTCTTTCATGAGCGAGCCTTGAGTGAAAAGAGAATCGGCTTCTTGAGACGTATCGCAATTGCTACGCCAGTGAATGTTCAGTCGTCTTTAAAAAGACGGACTTATCGCCTTTGAAAGTAAAATGTCTTCTTGCCTTCCGCTCTGTGCAGCATAGACTTGTAAAAGCTACTGCTGTTTTTATCTACCGCGTGCTACGTCAATCCATACCACGAAAATATAATGTACAAACTTGTTAAACTTGTTAAAAACAAATTTTAAGTGATTCCATTTGAACTTTTCTCTTGTTTAAAATTGTTGTGCTTTGCTCTTTCAAAAATTTCGCTAAACTCCTTAATCTATATAGTACATTTTTCTACACAGTGAAATTGTTTCTCTTATATTAATATTTAGATATATGTTAATATTTTCTTATCTACAAAAAATTTATATTTCTTTTCCATTAATAATTCACTAACATTTTCCATATCTAGTTTGTTCATTTTACTGCTAAGAACTTGTAATCGAAACGTTTTGAGTGCTTTTAAAATGAAGCTTATTCTTTATCTGTTCTTTATCTCTTATTTAATTTTCGAATGTTTTACTACGCCTTATCTCTAAGATACAAATATCTTAATTAGTTTCTTAATCTTAATTAGTCATTTTCTCAATATATATATAAATAAGTCATCATCATTACGCCTCATCAAGTTCTTTATGATTTAAGTCACCGAATCTTTCACATTGTTTAACGAATTCTGAGTGATTTTGTGAATCGTATAAATAATGTATTGTTTATACGATTGCATATGAATATATATGCGGTTGCATACGAAGAAGTAAAAGAGACTAACTTTGTTATCTCGGCATTGTGGCAATGTAGTTATTTAAAAAATTGCAACATTACGTCACGTTTCTGTGTTTATCGTCACAAGATTCTGTGACAACAAAATTGCAGCGCTGATTCACGCAGTCGTCTACTATTTTGCATACCAGAACCTGGATCACCTTGTGTCTATCGAAGCTCAATTAAAGGCCTTCCGGTTTACATGCCGCTGTCAAAGAGAGCGCGCACCTCGTTACGGTTTGACGGTTACACACGGATCGGAAGGGCACGCGGTGCCCTATGTGTTTCTGAAAGAGAGAGACACGAAAGGGGGGGGGGGGTGCCTCGTTGCAAGCTGCCTCCCCACGGATACAACAAAAAGAGAATAGAAAAGGGAGGGGAAAGGAGGAGCCGCTGCGTTTTCACACGACTTGGCTTACGCGCTTTTTGGGGCGGGGAGGAGGGACGCGAAGAGATCGAGTCATGCCGCACGCACGACGAAGAAGTCGGAAGTCGGGGACTCGAGTCAGTCGATTGTGGAGCATTAACGCGCTTGGGTCAATCGTCGCGCGAATGTGCATATATACATGTGTGTGTGTGTGTGTGTTATGCGCTCGTAAAACGTAATTTTAATCGAAGACCGGTCGCGATGCAATCGCGCGAAATTCCAAACGCCATTTTTATTGCGAATCCGCGATAATTGCGATCGAAGGTGCGAGAGTGATTCTCTGCTATTGGACGGTTTGATTTAATTAATTAGGAAATCGAAGAGAGACATTTCGTTCGATTTGACGAGAGTGTTAAATTGAATAGAGATCCGTCGCCTCGTTTTCTGACGAGGCTCGCGTCGCTCCTTGTCGGAGATCGGGATTCATCAAGGAAGAGTACGTATCGCATGCGAGACTCACCATTGAGCAGCGCGGGGGTTGCGACGGACACCATACGGTCGGTTCTCCGGGCGGCCACGCGACCACCAGCCGTGGGAGGGTCGTCGCGCTCCGCTGAGTCGTGAAAGCACCCCGTTGAAGTAACATCGCGTTACACCCGCGGCGCATCCTGGGCCACCTCGAAGTCCCGCCAACATTTGTCGAGCGTCTTCTCTCGTCCTGCGGACACGCGTAAAGGAAGTTACAAAAACTCTGTGGAGAAGAATCGGAAAGCAATTTTTAGCACTCTATTTTCTAGTGTGGCAAATAGTGCGGTGAATATTTTGAAATTTGGCGAAAGCAGCGGCGAGAACATGAGTGCGTTTAAAAGATATCAGAGCAAGGTGTTCTGGAACCAAATGGCCGCGCGCGATTTGGAGGACGATCACTTTGCAAGGACGAACGATCCTCCGCGTTACTATTTTAGCGAAAATAGTCTCCGCGAAAAGGAGAGGGACGAGGAGGAGGAAGAGGAAGAAGATTCTATCGACAAATCAGAAAACGATACGATCGATGGCGCAAATATCACCGCAATACGTGTTTGCGATAAAAGCGACGAGAAATCAAAACAGGACGCGTCTCGGATTTCGTTGATACGCGACGAGAGTGTCGCACGCAGCAGGTACGCTGAACGAGAATTTGCTATCGAGCGGTTGTCACAAAAATAATTATTCAAAATCTATTAAGTACATTAATTTAAAATAAAAAATTATGATTTTTCATTGCGGTCAAGAAAAATACGTTACGTTTGTATAATAGATCGTCTCTCTAAGTATTATTATATTAAAATAATTTCTAACAATAATACAGAAGACAATAATTTTTTTATATTAATTTATATTGGTTTTTGCGCTCCGCGCTTTGGAATTTTATTGCATCGTTATTTGTATTTTTGATATAAACGACGCCTTACATTATTAAAATAATTTCTGTTAGACAAATCTATTTGAAAATAATAATATTTCAATGTTTAGAACGGAAATGGAAGAAATGGATGCAGAAGAGCAAGATCGCGAGACCGTCACGAGGAACAGATCCTGCAGCCCTTTGAGCCAGGATCTCAAAAGCCAGGATTCTGGATTCTCCGATTCCGAAAGATCGGACTGCTCGGAAGATTACGAAAACGCGACTCCGAGGCGGAAAATGAGGAGGAAAAAAATGCGGCGACGCAGGATTCAGTCGACGGGAATCGCTTCGGCGTGGGTGGAAGGCGCATCTCCCCCGATGCCGACGCATACATCAACACCGAAAAGTTCCAGGATAACCGCAGCGATGAATCGTCTCGAAAAATCCACGAGAAACACATCACAAAAACAAGGGTGAGTGAGATAAATCGGTAAAGTGCAAATTATAAGTTTCTAAAGAAGTGTTCATTGAAGCGTAAAAATTTAATGTGGAGAAAATTTCGATGCGAATCGCAGTTTGTTGACGAGCGATCTCGCTCGACTTTATTTCGATCGTCTTTCCGCGCGTTGCGGAATCAGATGTCACAAGAATAATCGGGTCTGATTCAGCAGACACGTGGTTTATTAATTTCGATAAAAATTATCTGTAATACCGAAGCACGATCGATGTTTGTACTTCGAAATGTCGAAACTGTATGTCGCACATTGCAACCAAGGGAAGTGCTTCGGAAAGCGTGAATCGTCGCGATAAGATTGAAGACGTGAGGCAATCGATAGGAATGCGATACGCAAGACAAATTTCCTGGCGCGCGCTGTTCTATTTCGAAGTAATAAATTAAATATGTACAAGTTTATTGTGTCGCAAGCAATGACGCACTCCGAAGAATCGTATACGGGAGGGCTTCTCTCATTTTCTCATCTTCTTCGCATCACAATAGACGAAGATATTGCCTCAGCCCCAAGTGGACGATTATCAGTCCTTGACTCGTTTTATAAGGTGCTCCGGCTTTATCGTTCGGGTCATTGTATGCGCATCACGCCCTCGTATATACGGTCGTCCGACTTTTTACGGTGCGCGACATTTTTGGGTGTCGCTGTACAAACGGCGATTCGGAGCGACGATTGACGTTCGATCCGGTTGACAAGTAAATATGCGGCTTTTGCTAGCGCTGTCATTTAGAACTGGGCACCCGAGTAACCGGGTATTGATAGCGCTGGTTGCTGCGCGAGGTTTCCTTTTTAGCTCGGCGACTCGTAGAACGATTATTAGATTGCGTATCCGCCGTCGTGTTTGATTAAAGAGCACCGAAGGCGATTGTGCCGGCTATGCTGTAACGCAGGCATGTAAATCGGTGGCGCGCCGGAAACACATGTCAATGCGCATACGGTTCAACTTACTGCGGCAATCTCGCGTAATGAAATGCGAAGCTAAATGGGATAAACGGAGAAAAGATCTTTCATGTGTTGCGTTCTGATATGTATTCTGAGTCTTCAAATGTGTTTTTTTTTTTATTAAAACCGCTTTAAATAATCGCGAATTGAGTCATTTTCGATTCTTTTATTGTTGCAAATGAAATTATAAACGTTAAAAATATGAATGCGCTATCTGAAAACATTAGAAAATAAATTTTTATTTTTTACAAATCACAATTATAATATTAATTTGCAAAAATATATTGCTCTGATATACACTTTGTGTTTTGCAAAAGTTAAATTGATAAATAAAATTATATTTTAGTTGTAAATAGAATAATTCTAATTTTGTAGCGGACTTTGCTTTTTACTATTTTACCGGGTGTGCAATTTGGTTACGAAATCAGAATAGCAATCACCCTCATGCGGTCGTGCTTTTCTGTTAAGTCACCGTATATATTCCGTACGTGAGTCAATGCAACGTGCCGCACGACGAGAATACGTAAATGAATGATCGAGCAGGCCGAGTAACCGGCGAGGTTTGAGTCAACCGTGCGAGGCCGCGTTCGTGGTGCCGCGACAGCGAATCTACGAAGAATTCAGCTTCGGAACGTGCAGCCGACTGCGCGCAGGTGGACGCATTACAATACTACATGTCAAAGGAACACGGAGATTAGTCATCACGTGTCTAGAAAAACGCGCTTTCCTAAGCGCGCGCGGCTCGGTTAGTCAGCTCTTGCGTTCTCGCTAATCGTCCCCGGCGCAGCTTTCTTTCTTCCTCCCGGAAAAAGCGATTATACCTAGTACGATACTGCGTCGCGATGTGTCTCGCAGTAGCAAGATGATAATAATCGAGAACTGCGTCGATTCGTAATGGCTCGTTTAAGGTAGTAAACGAGCGTAAGCTTGAAACGACAGAGAGTAATTAAAATAAAATAAGAACTCCAAAAGATACGACGTCGTGTAAAAAAAAAACGTTTTTTTAACAAGTTTTTAGATATTTTAAAAATATTTCAACTTCTTTTAATAAAAGACGTGCTTACCAAATAATGATCACGTTTTCTTCACGTTTCAGAGCTGACGATGAGCAGGGCGACGCGACGCTACCTTCGTCCGTCTCACTGGAGGATGAATGCCTAGGCGATTTTCTGTACGCATCCGAACCGCCGGAAGACAGCGTTCAGCCATCGACAACGAAATCGACGACTTCCATCGATGCGACTCCGGATGCGATCATCGCCGCCGGCAGGGACGTGTTGAATTCCCGAAATTATCGTCAATCGTCGTCCATGCGCGCCTGGCTCACCGATCTTGTCACGGCGACCGAAAATGAATGCTGCAGCACGTTACAGAGCAAAAATCTGCCTCGCATGAGAGCCCGATTGGTGTCCGGTGAGGTGCACGCGCGAGATCTGAAGATGCTGTCCTCGGCGGCAACTGCAGCCGCGAGCAAACTTCTCGTCAGCGCAGAACATTTCGAGCAGCATCATCGCAGCATCGTCGAGTAAGTCCGTTTTCTTTCTTTTCCTCCGGCTACAAATAAGGATAATTATTTCAATATTAACGCGGAAATCAAAAGTAAGATTTATTTATTGAAAATAATCAAAATTTTTGTGAATGATTAAAAATCAATTTAATAATTACAGAAAAATAACACGGCTGGAAGGCGGCAGGTCCGAGATGGAACTCCTCCGCAGCATCGAGGAGGCCGCATTCTCGATGCTCTCTCAGTTGGGAGCGCCTCCACCTCGTAGGATTCAGCAGGGCAGTCTGCGAAGCATCCTCGCTCAATTGCAGAACATGAAGATATACGTCGACGGCACGATCGACACGCGCTTAGATTTCTACATGGAGGTTGGCTATATTATCCTCGCGGCTCATTGAATATAAATTATACGTATAATTGATAAAAGTTAACGTTTACAAAAATTTCTTTTCAGAAAATAATCCGCGGCCTCGAGGAAGCTCCGCAGGAAGACAGCAGCGTGGCCAGAGGCGCTCTAGCAGCCTTGACGGCTCTAGGATTATCGGATCCTCGCGCGGGAAGCAGCATAGCTCGATGCTCTGGTATCAAGGCTCTCCTGACGTGTCTCATCGCTGTCGGCCGAGTCACACCGGATGATTTCGTGGCGACCACGCTGCGCGCTCTCGCAAGCGTATGCTGTTCCGCGACGGCAATCGAATGCTTTGCCAAGGACGGTGGCCCGGAGATTCTGACGGATCTTCTGGCCGCGGAATCCTCCTCCGAGCGAGAGAAGACTGAAGCCACCGCCTTAGTGGTGCAAATCACAGCGCCGTGGACAAATGCGCGCGGTCTGCCGTATCTGGAACCCTTCGCGGATTCGCTGATCCCGGCGCTGAATCAGCTAGTTGAGAGCACCGGTTGCGCGCAGACTTTATTACTGGCTGCCGCGGCATTAAATCACCTGTCCAAGTTGAGATTGTGCGCCGGTGTCATAATGCGGGAGGACAGCGTGCGAAAGCTTCTGCGAAGTGTGAAGAAGTTCGCCGGTGGCAACGTCTGGCTGATGGAGCAGGTTGCCGCCCTGATCAGCGAGCTGGCGCGCGTTCCCGAAGGTCGCGCACATCTAGCAAATGCGCGTGCCTCCGTCGCGTTGGTCTCTTTCCTCAGAATGAGACCGCCGGGTTTAGAAGACGCGTACCGACGATTGGAGATGACCGCGACGGCCGCGCTTACGAGGCTCTGCGTAGAGCCGGAAATCGCACGGCAGGTAGTCGCGGTGGGCGGTGGAGATTGTCTACCGAGCGCGTGCAAGGTCGACGAGGCTCGAACGGAGGATGAAGAGGAGATGCAGATGGGAGCAGGCTTGTTGAGGTACACCAGGTCGTTGAGACGTGCGTGCAAGAAGGCCGCAAGACAGATCGGGATTGCAAAGGCCAAGGATCACAGTCCGATGGATTGAGGAAATTCCAGGGAGAGGAAATCTGTTGACAAATTTACAATTCTCAATTCAGGGATCATTGTTTGTTTGAAAGAAAAACTGCACGAAATAAAAAATATCAAATTTGTTTTTTGTTTAACTAAAAACTTCAAAATATATCATAAAGTTCGTAAATGCTGGTTTAAAAAATTTTGATTTTTTTTTTTAGTTGTGCCATTTTTCTTTCAAATGGACAATATGAAAAAAAGGCTGTAAATACAATTTTATAATCGCGATTGTAGATGGTTAAAATATTTTATGTTACATTATAAGAATATAGTATTCTTGTTAAATTTGTACAGAAATATTTAACTTACAATTAGTGTATTGTATTGTAATGATATGCATATATTGTAAAAATATAGTTGTCTTATTGTACTGTCACTAAAAAATGTGCCATAGTCTGTATAATACATTCGCGAAAAGGAAAAAAAATATAAAAAAATAGTAACCATGATTACATTATAAATTAACTATGTCTTATGCAGTCCCGTCCGTTAGTTGAGTCTGGTGAAAAATGTCGACAGTGGTTTCCAAGCATGGTCTCAATTCTAGATCGCATGAGCCAAGGACGAATTTGCCCTCTGGTGCTTTGAAGTAATCCAATCCACGTCCAATTTTTATCACCCATCCATTGCTCAATCTGAGATAAAAGAAGAGATTAACAAAAAAATATATAAGAAAACAGATTTTCAGATTATCGACTATGTATGCGTTTAGTCTTACTTGATTTGCCTGTCATGCAATGTCATAGAAAAGGAAAAATCAAAGGAGACATTGTGAGACGCCAAACTCTCCTTCAACTCGGCCAATCTCGTGATTTGAGTAGTTTCTTCTGAATCATAAGTGGTAAGCAGAGATATCCTGGTCAGTGTAGAGCACTTTAGGACTGCCAGCTCGCATAATCTAACCAGGTTTTGACACTAGAAACAAAATATCACAATTAACATTTTAAATTAATTTCCATACATATGTATATTGTATTGTCAGCATAAGACTATCATAATTCGACACTTGTTTTTCGAAAATAATAAACAAAACTAATTTTTATTTCAATTTTTAATAATTAACTCTTAAATTTAGTTACAATTATCACAGTAAATCAAAATATAAATAAAAACTACTCTCATTATGTGCTTTTTATGTAAAAAAAAATTGTTTGTCGATATATATATATATTAATTCAACTTATTTATTCTAAAAATGTTTACTATTTTTAAGCATTCTGTGTATACAACATTTTTTAAATTATTTTACAAATAATATTATACCTGGTGAAAGGCTCGTATGTACGGATCCTCAATATCAATATAAGTGACAGTTCCATCCAGGAATCTTCCAAAAACACTTGCATAGCCATGCCCTGTTGATCCATTCTCGATTTTAGTCAGTTCCCTGTATGTACCGGCTGATTTTCTGTCGCTGATCAATTTCTTCACTTTCTCGGCTCTATCCAGGTATTCCTTTGCCTTAATGGTCAGGTATTCCACTTTGAATGCTACCTTTGTTTCTGCATCGTTTTATTATCGAGTCTTGAAAGGAGTCACAAAGATTGTGACAAGCTAATATAGCATTTCTTTGTTCTATAGATAAAGCTGCATAGTAAGGAAAGATAAAGGAAATTATAAAAGTGTCTTGTGTAATACCTTTCACAGCATCAAGGAGTATCTGCACACCTTCCTGATACAACACCAACGCTATTGTGTACTGCTCTTTCCTGTCCATATCTACAGCACGTTTCAGCACCGAAGCTGCCGACGATTCCATCGTGCTTCTCGTTTTGAACGATACGACGATGATTCAGAGTTCTTTGTTCTGAAAAACGTTTACATTGTGATCAACAATCTATACAACACAGGTTCACTTTCCTTCACTTCCTGCTTCGATCGATCAATTTCATCTGTTGCATACCCAATAGATTGTGTAAAAGAATAAGACAAATGTATAGGCGCTGTAAAAATATGTACCTCGACAATGATCCTCGACGATGATCCGATTACGATGACAGCTCTGCGCGATATATAATGTTATCTATTGAACGTGCGAAACGCGAAAAATTATTATCTGCTTTGCGCGTTCACACAGCAAACATTCCCGTTATATTTCTCACACACCTCGCATGCCTGTGTATGTGCTCATATTCCAGTTTCAAATATTATCGATCATCGAGGAATCGCCCGCGCCGTTCTTACGATACGAGATTCGCGCAACACTTTTCTCTTGCTCTCTGGACTACCCCGTTAAAAAAACAAATATGGCGTCGTGACGCGATACATCGATGATTTTAACCTAGGTGTGTCGTTAATTGTCGTGCGAACGGAACATGCTTGATAACGAATTGTAAAACCGCGAGATTGTACGACGTGAGAAGATCACATTTTTGAGAACAACTTTTCGTTGCAGTCCATCAAGATAAAATAATTTGAAATTCTTTACAAATGGCATAATACTTACGTATGTCTTCGATCGACAACAATCTGTCTCTGCTCAAGAGCACTACATTACACCTTCTACACTCAAAATAGGTATGTGACCTGGCATTGGAGAGAGATAAAGAAAAAGTGCAGCTACGAAGAATAGCTTATGTTACAACGACACGTGACTCTAACGTTATTAACAAGCGGGAATTTTCAATACAGTTTATTAATTATTAAAATATAGGCAGAATATATTTTGAGTAATATATTTTAGACTTTGGTATTTTATAAACAAAACTTCTCTTACAGTGAGTTAATTTTTGAATTAACAAATCATTAATAATTTGAATAATATATATATATATATATATATATATATATATATATAATATATATATATGTAATATTTTATTAAATAATTATGAATTTTTAAATATATCAGGCTTGTTAGTTTGGATTATTAAAGAAAATGAGAAACTGATGTAATCTTTTTATACAAATGCATTGTTTTATCCACAACAAATATAATGTTGGCTAAATATGAATAATTTATGTTTCCCATATATTATTCAAGTGCCAGCAAGATGAAGTCCAGCAAGAGTTTAGGTAACAATGGGTTGTGGGGAGAGTTACCGCCACGAGAGATGCTTAAGCAGGAAGTAATAACACCAGACCTCATAGAAAATGTCTGGCGACAAGTCATAGATGACTCGAATAACACTGATTGTGATTACCGAATTGATAATAGACAACTTGAATATCTACAGTGAGTATAATGTTTATAAAAGTGACGCGTAAAAATGTGAACGCGCAACTATTGTAAAATATTATATTATTATAGATTACCAATGGGAAATTTACATGTGCTGAATACCATAAATCTTCACCAACAATTACGGACAATGGTAAGATTTAATTCAAACAAATTTTCTATTGCAAATTTATTAAGAGTAATGGTATGCTGCTTACTCAGTAAAATAATAATATTGATTGTTTTCTTTGCAGGAAGAAGGAACTGTGCTTAGTAACATGACTATCATAGAATCAGAGAATTCAAAAGATGCAACACATTCTAAGAATCTATTTCGCTTTCTGCCTTATCAGCCAAAAGGGTATTTGTTGTATTATTTCAGTTTATATTATTGTATAATGTTGCAAATCGCGTAATATTGTCGTAATTATTGCGTTGTTTCAGAAATACATTTAAAGATTGCTCCACTATACACTACTTGACACCTCAAACCGCACGGAATTTACTAAAGCATGCCGTGACTATTTTATTAGCTCACATAGGGTTTGAAAACGCGTCAGATATAGCTATAGAAACACTCATTGATGTGGCAGATCATTTTCTAAGACGGATGACCCTCTTGTTAAAAGTAGCAAAAGAACAGAAGGATCATGGCTTTCCGGTAAGAAGAATATATCATTATTACTATGTATTTATATACGATTGTCTATATAACAAACCTGCGTATTTATCAGGATGCTGTGGAGAGGGTGCTGCTGGAGACAGGTGTGGGTGGAGTGACAGCGTTGCACGACTACTATCAGGAGTACATCTTGAAGTTCGAGGAAAACATGAGGAAGAAAGTCGAAGAGATGATGGAGAGACAGAGGCAACTTGAACTTAATGCTTGTAGTAACAAGGGAACGTTCACAAAAGTCCTCCCCCGATTTGATTCTTCTTGAAATATGTTGTAAAACATAATTTGAGGAGACACGTATTTTTTTATAGTGGCTCTAACTCAAATTTAAAGGGTGAAACATCCCTTAAAAAAAAAATGGGTTTTTTTTTTTGTGTGTAGATATCGCCAAAATCGTAGAAGATATTAAAAAATTTTCAAATAGAAGTTGTATGGCTTATAATGGGCTTTATAACTGTGTAGTTGAATTTTCAAAAAATGTATTTTTTTTTTTTATTTACCTCCACCCTTTGTTATTTTTTTGAATTTCAAAATTTTTGTAATGACAAAAGTTGTAAAATTTTTTACGCTGAATTCAACCATATGTGATTTTATTATGTTCCGAAATTGCATCTTTCAAAAATGAGTCATCAGTATCACACTATAAATACAGTATCACAATATAAAATTCTGTACAGTTTACTTTTTTTTAATAATTTTAATATACTGCGATATATTCTACATACTATTACATTCTATTAAATTACTACGATTTTTTTAAATTATAAGGTATATAAAATCTTGAAATATAAAATGTATATCATAAGTATAATTATAATATATACAATAAATAAGCTTATATATATATATATA